CCAGCAAATTGGACTTAAATTTGAGAAACTAGTGAAATGCTACATTTGGAGCATAGCTCTGTATGGGGCTGAAACATGGACATTTAGGGCAGTAGTTCAGAAACATCTGGAAAGTTTCAAAATGTGGTGTTGGAGAAGGGTGGAGAAGATCAGTTGGACCGATTATGTGAGAAATGAAGAAGTGTAATTAGAGTGAGTGAGCAGAGAAATATCCTACACGAAATAAGAAAACGGAAGGCAATTGGATTGGTCATGTTTTACACAAAACTGCCTTCTAAAAGAAGTTACTGAAGGAAAGATAGAGGGTTGGATAGAAGTGACAAGAATATGAGAAAGAAGACATAAGAAGATGCTGTATGACCTTGGGGACAGAAGAGGATATTCTCATTTGAAGGAGAAAGCTCTAGATCGCATTAAGTGGAGGAATTGTTTTGGAAGAGACTGTGGACCTGTCGTCTGACAGATTACAGATGATGAATGATGATGATGTTTTATGATAAAAAATAAAGTTATACCACCCAGTATTCTGATGTTCATGGCTATAACACTATTCATAAACACAATTTGTACCTACAATTTTTTAATACTGAGCGTAGCAAGAGAGGGGTGATTACTATGGGAACCAAAATATTTAATGTCCTTCCAACTGAATTAAAGAATGTTAACAATTTTAATGTTTTAAGAAGAAACTTAAGAATTATTTGTTGTGTAATGTCTTCTATTCTCTTCAAGAATTTTTTAATAATTGTTGACATGGACTGTTTTGTTGATAAATCTGTCTGGCCTTTTTTGGAGTATTTATTATTATTAATTTTTGACGTAAACTGCTTGTTAATAAATCTGTCTATATGTTTAAAATATTTATTCTTGTGTCTTTTTTTGGAGTATTTATTATTCTTAAATTAAGTTAGAAATGTATTGCTGTATTACAGTCATGAATCACTGTGTGAATGTTATGTTATTTTTTTTTTACTTATGTTATTTTTGATGTGATGTTGTTGATGTTTGACATGGCCAATTGTAATTCTCTACAGCTATGGATGAAATAAATAATAATAAAATAATAATAAAAACTACAATCTAACTCAGGATAATCAGTGACCCATTGAGTTTAGAACCAAACACCTCCTCAGTACAAGTCTGAGACACTGCAGCCTGACTCAACTTGCTTTACAGGGTTCAATGGTAATTTCCATCTTTTGCTGATGTTTCCCCACCTGTATTTGCAGTTTACTTAGCAATGGTGTTAGTAGCTCAGAGTATAAAGCACTAAATGACAGGATGGTCATTATACTCATATGTTCATAAATAATTGCTGGAAACAGTGTGGAACAGAACAGTCTTCATCCAATTTGAAGCACTATCCTGTAATCTGCCTGGAGGACAAGGTAAGGTAAGGCTGTCCCAGTGCTTCACTAATTAAGCACTATGCCATGAAGGCATATGGGAGGGTGGATATATAGACCCATATTTTCTTGATCTTGGCACTAGTTGGAGGTGAGTGGTCAGCTTCATGCCATTGCCACTTTACCTCCAAGGAAAGAGCCCCTGGCACCCACTGGATAGCAGGTTGGGTGGACCCCAGAACCAGTCTGGATGACGTAGAGAAAATACTTGACCCCACCGGGACTCAAACTCCGACTCCTCCTTGGTTATCCAGCCCATAACCAGTCACTATACTGACTACACTATCCCGGCTGGAGGGACTGAGGAAAACTACAAACAGGCTCACTCAGGAGTGTCCCATCAAGATTAGAACCAAATGCTTCTCAAATAAGAGTCATAAATATGATAGCTTGACCTTTCTTTGCAGGGTGCATCCTCCAAATATGGGCCATCAGGTCACCCCTAGACCAGAAGTGGGCCATATTCTCCTTTCACCCATGATTCATTTCCTTTCTCCATACTTCTCTATACCCTGCCACTTTCCTAACTCCACCCACTTCTGCTCTAAAGACAGAAGCAGTGCATTCCTACAAAATGACACCTGCCTATCAAGGCTGCATGGTGTGATGACCCTCAGGACCACAATACATGCCTATGAAATTGTTACAGCGCCTACCAGTACATTCTTCAGACGTTCTCGTAAACTGTCTCCCATCTCTATGATCAGGGCCAAAAACAAGCACTCATCAGGCACTGTCAAGTCAGACTATGGGTAAGGGCATTCATCACAGATGTCCAAATGTTAGTGACAGTACCTGATTGTCCCATCCATTAACAGTAGCAGAACTGCTACAAAATCAGCAAGAAAAATACTTAGTGGATTTCACTCATTCTTGAGCACTTTACAACCTGGATGGTCTGCCTGAAATAGAGATGAGCAGTAAGCCTCAAGACCCATGCAAAGAGCATTCTGTATCCACTGGACAGCTGGTGTCAATGCAGTGGCTAAGAAAAAGATCTTCTGCCCCTACTAGAATATTAATCCCTATCTTTCAGCTGTCCAGCCCATGGCCTAGTCACTATACAAAATGAGGTATCACACCTCTCTTATATAGAAGGTAAATATCAAATTATTTTCTCTACTAAGAAGCTTACTTTTATTTGTCGTCCTCTAAAAAGTGATTCATCCATGGCCATAGCTGTCTGCACAGAATCTCTTTCTGTAAATTCTATGTAGGCAAAGCCTTTGGGATGACCATCAAACTTGTTACAAAGGATTGTAACTCGATTTATTGAACCACAACCATGGAAATGTTGTTCCAGTTCTTCTGCAGTTGCTCCATAGTCAACCTGGTAATAACACCATAAAAGATACTCATTATTACACAAAAATCTGTTGACTGAAACATGAGTTTCCATTACGTATACATAAACTTCATTCACATGAAAAATGGTAAATATATACAATAATCACTGAGCTTAAAATCATATACAGCCAACTCTCGATTATCCGGGATAATGGTGGGCATGGAAATCACAATTAATCGAAAACCCGGTTCAGATAAATGTTATTAAAAGTAGTACTGTAATACTGTACCTTCATAATACTATAGGCCTACCTGTATTTAAATTTACTCAACCTCATTTTTATGTCATCTCATGGCTTATTTAATACTTTTTTTTACATTACACTGAAGTGTGAATTATTTCAATCACAGTGTTCAACAACATCCAACACTTTTTACGAATATTCACACTTAACACTTAAGCTTGTCACTTACTAAACTGTTCTCTTCACTCTCAAGATAGTCTAGTAAGGATTCCAAATGATTAAGAGCAGCACCATGTGATATTTTCTTACTAGCAGCACTGTCCACCTCTTCCTCGTTCTCACTTTCTTCCCGCTCTTCTGGCTGCAACTCCACTGAACTTACGGTTTCGTCACTGCTTAACATTTCGAAGCTCAGCTCACATGAGTTTCTGTTGAATACTTAACACAACACGCTTCCTTTTACACCCTGACATTTTGCTAACGCACTTGAAGATCAATACAAAGAGACCAAATGGGGCGGTGTATCTGTCCTTGAAACTTTCCACAAATTCTTGCATTCTTTCACCCCTACCCTAGAACATTGTGTTAGCATAACAGGACCAAAGAATGCAGAGCTCGGTTCACACGAGTGCAAAAATAGTGTTACAACTCACCATGTGAAACAAAAGTGAATGAATATTAAACAACATATAAGCCTCAAAAAAGCCCCGGTTGAGACGCAAACACGTTAATCCGCCCCCGGATAATCAAGAGTTGACTGTAATACAATTTTCAAGAGTATATCCACATTTAATCCTTTCTACCATTCAGTCCAGAGCATTTTGTCTTCTCATCTGAATACACAAAACCATAATTTTGCCTGTGGTTCTATATGGGTGTGAAACTTGGTCTCTCATATTAAGGGAGGAACGCAGACTGAGGATGTTTGAGAGCAGGGTGTTGAGGAGAATATTTGGACCAAAGATGGATGAAGTGATATGAGGTTGGAGAAAACTGCATAATGAGGAGCTTCTTAACTTGTACTCTTCTCCGGGTATAATTAGAATGATCAATCAGGGAGGATGTGGGCAGGGCATGTTGCACAAATGGGGGATGAGGAATGCATATAGGATCTTGTTTGGAAAGCCAGAAGGAAAGAGACCACTGGGAAGACCAAGGCATAGGTGGGTGAACAATATTAAAATGGATCTTAGAGAGAGAATGGGATGGGACGGTATGGACTGGATTGATCTGGCTCAGAATAGGGACCAGTGGAGGGCTCTTGAGAACACGGTAATGAGCCTTCAAGTTCCATAAAATGCTGGGAAATTCTTGAGTAGCTGCCATTTTGGCTTCTACTGAAGAAGGGCGCAGCTCCGTAAGTATCCAAAGCACAATAGACCATTGAAGGTCACAGTGCTATGGCCAGTTTTATGGCTCACTCCTCATACTCGAGTAAGTATCCACATTTAATATTTCATTTTGATATTTGTATAGTATGTCTTCCTACATATTTACACACTTGTCATTTCCAAACTATCAGCCTGTGTTAGCCAACCTTCAGTAAAGTGCCATCAATCAATCCCAATACAGGGCTATAGTTCTTCTTCTAATATTTTGACAGGAGTACTGCTAGAACTACACAGTGACCAGTGTCATAACATTGATTTCCACCTGATGCAGGAGGTTTTGCAATGCCTGGGAATTAGCAAGACACAACAATCCTACATCTGCAGTCAAATGGCATTGTGGAATGGTTCAATGAAACAGATGAACATATACTAAAAGTTGTCATGTTGCATCAGGGGGAGTGGGACATACTACGCATCTTAAGCAAGCAGTGCATCTGCTGCCATCAAGCGCACAACCATGGAACTGGTCAACAAAGTAAAAATCCTTCCTGTATGTGCACATAACTCTATATTGCAGAGACTGACAATGACACAAGTACTATGTCAGTAATCTCTAAAATTCTGTCCTGTATGCTGAAAGTTCAAGCAATTTTCTTGTTCTTGCTACTGCTTCTTCTAAAATGCAGACACATATGCCAAATGTATCAGTAACTGTTATGATAAATATCCTTCACTAGATCCTCTTCTGCCCATTTTAACTCCAGTGGGCACACATTAATGGGTTTCTTGTCCAAAGAGATTTGGTGAACTTCACTTTGAGTATATGGACGCCTGCTATGCTTGACATATCACAACAATTTTGCTAACACTTCCTAGCTAACCCATATTTCACACACAAACCATACAAAAATACACACTGACTGACAGTACACTGAATACATCCACACACAAAGACAAGCTGTACTCAACAAAGTCTGACATTTCAGCAGCCTTACTGACTCACAATGATATTTTAGCATGTGGACCCATTCCTAGGCAGTAACAGCGAGATAGGCAACTGTACAGAACCCACTGCTAGGCAGCAACCCTCACACAACAGAGAAATGGTGTTTTCTGTGTGGTCTGCTAAGCAACAATTCAACAGCAACAGACAAATGGGGTCTTCTGTGCGGTCCGTGCCAAGATATTATAAGCAGGATAACTGTAGCGATCAGTTAGCTGTGGTAAGAATGTGAGCATGGAAGCGGAGGACACTACTGGGATCCATCACCAGGCAACAACTGATGAAAACACAGCAGACTGAGAAGACTTATTACATGCTGTACTGAACTGCAGTGTGTGTAAATTAGCGATAGCGCTATAGTTACATGTAGTAATAATTCAATAACCAATCCAAACCCTGTCTAGTCACTCACACACATGATAATATTCACTATTTTACATGCTGTTAAGGCACTAATGCAACCTTATTCATTAGGAGACAAAAAACTGTATGCCTACTTATGTAGGCATGAATCATTTCAGTGGCATTTACTGATGGTCTAAATCACACTAGGTTTGTATCATGATAAAACGATAGCACTCTTCTGAAAATAGGCTGTCACAAATTTACTGCTAAATTACCAGTCAATAAATTATAAAATTTAGAGTGAATTAATATGCAACATTTTCTCAGAGGTCATGTAGTTTGTACACAGGAAACACATGTTGATAACCATGAATTTCTTTTTTAACTGTCTCTAGCAGAATTTCTCCCATTCACCTTAACTTTATACTGATCCTGAAATTTTGACATACATAGTCTCTGATTAACAGAACCTACAACAAAGATATTCAAAGATTGACATTCTTCTTTTAAACTCAGCCAACATTAAAATTTTTTCAGATTTTTAAATTCTTCCTGCTCTTGTCTGACAATTTATTTAGCACTGTTCTTGAGATTATTATTGGACCTAAGAGACATCATCACACCTGTTTTTACTTTCAGGAACAAAAAAGAAATAAATAGAAGCTGGTGTAGTGAATACACTGGATGAATCGTAACCCAAACTTTTCCCCCCAATATGTATTAAGAGTTTTCATACCTACACTACTGCCATAAACAACAAAGCATTAAAAAAAATGCATAAGCAGCATAAATGAGAGACTCAAAAACTCAATGTGTTCATTCTGTAACATTTACAGTAAAACAACAGTATTAATAATAAATTGTGTACTGTCACTTACATTGCCAACATAAATAGATCGATTATCAACTTCCATTTTTTCTTCTGTAGACATATTCAATGGACTAGCTGCAAACAAATATTTCAGACAAAGATCAGAGGCAAATAATGAGTGAGGTAATGACAGGGTACGTAACAATAAATGAAATACAAAGAGACAAATTGTAGCGTTAATTACAAGCTATCTGAGGCAAACATTAGGTATCTTTATTGTTTGCATCCTGTTGTCATGATGTTTTTTTTTACTGTCAACAAATTTATCAAAGATTAAACCAATCTAATATCGCTGTTACACTGATTTTATTTAGTGATTGTTACATGTTTCGATCCATATCTGGCTCTTCATCTGGAAGTAAAAAAAAAGGACATTCAAAAATAAGTGCACTGAAGATGGATGGACGACATATTTCGCATATACTGTAATGTGAGCACAGAGTTCACTAGCCTGTATTGCAGGTGTTTTTAAACTGTGGTGTATGCCAGTTTAAGGGGGTATTAAAGTTCATTTTGAGGCACTAAAAAAATATGAAAAGCAATCTATTAGTAAAAATGTAACAAACATTTACTCTGTAAAACTGTGATGCCTTTAATTGTGTTTACTGTTTAATTTCAGCATGACAACTATACATGAATCTTCAATTTCAGTTCTACAGGTTAGTTCTGTATCTACAGCAACCTTATTCCAGTATATGTCCTCACTTCACAGTCTCCTACCATTTTCGTTATATTCTTGAAGCCCTCCTAATAACATAGGGTATGCATACAGTAAACCCAATCCTACACAAAGTTGTCTATGAACACAAACTCGTCATTCAGTCCAGTGTGCCATGAGCTTGTGTACATACACACTGTACTGAGTGCTGAAGTCTCAACTGAAAAGTTGGTGGGGCTTTTTCTTAAAGCACTGTTTCTTTATGCATCTAATCATCCACATGTTTGTTCATTAGTGCAAGTATTAGATTTCTTCTCATTATAGCATATATTTTTTGCTGTAATTTTTAATAAATACCTCACCATGGGGTAATAGGTTATTCATGAACCTATTGTTAAGGCATGCAAAGGTGATTGTGGTGAACCTATCATAAGTGTCATTGAAAATGTTTCTACCACTACCACAGCAACAAGTACAGAAAAATCAAATAATAGTGCTGGAAGTGCTAAAACTGGAAAATTTATCATCTGAAAGAAGACAAAATACCAAGAAACCTATTCTGAACACAGAATTACTTATTCCACTACCAACAATGAGCAGTAACCACAATGTTTGGTCTAAAATGCTGGAAACAGATAGCATGAAAACAATAGAAGTGAAGACACGTGATTAGAAAGCATGCAGAATTTAAATTCAAAAGCCTCTGCCAGCAGAAAGTGCAGAACCACCACAAACACGACACCATCATACTTAATCGGCAAAGCTAAAAAGCTGCACAAATCAGTAATTCCCTCATCACACCTGTGGAAATTAAACAACAGACATATTGCACTGAAGACATAAGCCAATGAACTCAAATTTGTGCCTCTATCAAACTCAAATGCTGGTAAGAATATAAGGGAAATTAGTTGTGACATGCACTAACAGCTGCTCAAAATATTTTTAAAAAAATCCCAAATATGAAATTCAACTTGACAAATCGTTCAATATTTCCAATTAAGAAGTCCTACATATGTTCGTTAATGACTTGAGAATCATGTGCCTGAAGACCTGCTGTTTTGGCTGCCACTTGATGGAAGAATGACAGCAGAAGACAATTTTGTAAAATTAAACAAGTTCTCCATAGCAGATGAACCCCTCATGGAATTGTGTTGGTATCTGTGACACTGCTTTGATGACAGGTAAGGAAAAGGGATCTTGTCCAAATAAAAAATTTAAGTAATGCTTGTGATGTAATTTATATACTACATTAATCACAGAAAAGCAACAGCCACTAGGGAAATTGTCCCTATACTTAAGAAAGTCTTACAAAATGCAGCTAAAGAAGGAAACTTTATTAGAAGCCAGGCACTAGATCTTGGCCGTGGGATCAAATCATGACAAACTCCTCCTTCATGCAGAAGTCAGATGACTACTGAGAGGAAGCGTGTTGCGAAGATTGGTGGAACTAATGGAAGATAAGCCAGCATTAGCTCACTTCTTCCACAGCGAAAACTGGTTGCACAACATTCCTTACATAACAAATATTTTAAAAAAATCAGTAAGTTATACATCTCTCCAAGGTGAAAATGTTCATACTTTTTAACAACAAATCAACTGCATTTGCAAAAAAAAAATTCAATCTGGAAACAAAAAGATGTAAACAGAAACACTGATATGTTTCCATGGACAAATTATTTCACTGAAGAAAACAAATTTGTGTTGCAAGTCACTGAGAATGTTTTCGTCAGTAAACTTAGTAACTCAGCTATAAAGAACAACTTTTTTCCAATCAGTGTGGTATTTCAAAACATGGATAAGGCAACTTTTAAATATACCATCAGAGACAACATAAGACCCCTCACTGACTGTTCAAGAAGTAACAAAACTGCCAAAAGACAGCACTCTTCAGCTGGTATTTCAGAACAGAGCTATGCATGACTTTTGCCTAAACTTCAGAAACGAATATCTGTTTGTGCCAGAACTGGCAATTTGTATTCTACTGCCATTTGGAAGATCTTATCTTTGAGAATCGGCATTTTCAGCATTAACATAAGCCAAACTACTGTACACACATTGCAAATGTCCAGGATGACCCTAGAGAAACATTATCAAATATCAGACAGATTTTATCCTTTGTATTCAAACATATGGGAATACCCATATCATTAACAAGGTAAATGGTTAAAATATTTACAGGGAGACTCCTCTTATATACTGTTGTTTTATTAGTTGTCTTTTGCATTGTTTAGTTATGCAAAAACTGGCCAATGCAAGGTAATTTAATTGTGTACTGGGAGGGGAATAAAGCCTTAAAAAATGAGGTACTATGCTACAAGCTGGAAGGTCACTGGATTTTTTTCAATTGACCTAATCCTTCCGGCGGCACTATGGCCCTGGGGTCGACTCAGCCTCTAACAGAAATGAGTACCAGGAATTAATTAAATAATTTTCCTGGAGAGTAAAGTGTCACACACGCAGTCACAGGAGTAAGACACAACACAAAGCACAATACACATGAAAGTAGGAAGAATACTCTGACCGAAGAAGATAGGTGTGACTCGCGTACTGAAATACGACATAAGGATGACAAATCCTGAACAGTTTTAACATTTTTAATATTTAAAATTTAGCAATATATATGACGAATATATATTTTAGTTATTTTAGTATAAAGACAACAGGGCATGCAATGCAGTAGTTCGACGTACATCGAAAAGCACCTTAAGATGGCACTTTAGTGCCGAAACATGTAGTGCAATAGAGAAGAGTAAGGTGAATAAATGTATGCACTGTAAGACGATCAGAATAAATCATGGACATAAATCAGTGCAACAGGACACTAAAATATAACATTATGCCTTATATTACTGTTTAATTTAATTACTTTAAACTCCTTTTGTCGCTTTGACTTCTTTTTTAATCTTGTGTGTGGTGAGTGAGATACAACATATGTGTATGAACAAGAGAATATTCCCCCTCCCACATCAGTAACACATATGAATCTATGAGAGACTATTAATAGATGCTAAAGCTAGTAGTTACATTCACACTTATAAATTCTCACATTTTTAAGATTCCTGAAAACCAGTGCTCACAGATAAAAAGGTGTTGCTCCCTCCCAGCAATATCTTATTATAGTGACAAAAATCTCATTTGTTTAGAACAGTTCACTTTAGTTTACTCATCTTTTTGTTTGCGTTTAGGAATGCAAGTGTCTGTGTGTATACACACACACACATATGTCTAATGTTTTCAATTGCTTTACCTGACATGGATTAGCTTCATAGGACACGTACAAACCGAATGTAGTAGGGACACAGACCATTTTTTCAGACAGAGGAATAACTTGAGTTCCTTCTTTTTGCTGCACGAGGTTAAATATTCTATTCATTAACACAAAGCACACTGAAACTTCAATGGAAAACGGTTGGAAACAAACTTCATAAAACAATACCTGACCTCAATAACATGAGAGGTTCTGCAAATACAACTCCATTACACGAAGAAAAACTTAACAGATGAAAACATATACTAAGAGGTGCTATTCAGAAGAAACTTTGTTGGCAATCAAGTTCGCTTTTTCTTCAACTGCCAACACAGCATCAAGATGTCCATTCCCTAGTTCACAATTAAACATAGACAGTTTTATCAATCAAAATGCTAACAGTAAATGACTGGATGATAAGGCTCTCAGATACTATATAATCACTGACAGATGCTTCAGATATAAATCGCTGTTATCTGACATAGACTGAACCAACATATAACGACCAACAACATATTAGTAAATGAACAATATGGCTTTAGGAGCAAGTCATCTACAGGAAAAGATGCGTCCAAACTTCTTAATGAAATATAAACTGTGCTGAATAATAAGATACTAGTTGGTGGCATCTTCTGTGACTTGAAAAAAGCTTTTGATTGTGTCAATTTTGATATTTTACTATCTAAGCTGGAATTTTATGGGATAGTTGAAAAGGGCCAAGCATTAGTAAAATCTTACCTCAAGGACAGATAAAGAGTTCTAATCAATAATTGGAATACTCATTCTGAATGGGGCACAGTTAATAATGGTGTTCACCAGGGATCTATTTTGGGACCTTTACTGTTTCTTTTATATATAGGTGTCTTGCCAAATTCTATAAACAGCAAATTCAAACCTGTCCTTTTCGCAGATGATACTAGCATTATTATTACTAATTTCTGTCCTGTAAATTATGAAAACAATATTATTCAAACTTTCAAAGACATAAATGACTGGCTTGAAGCCAATTTCTTGACACTAAATCTTGATAAAGAGTTATTTTACAACAATAGCCAGGCAGTGGATATGCACATTGTCCATGGCAACAATCAGCTTGCCAAATCTACCAACACCAGATTTATTGGATTAATTATTGATATGTTGTCGTGGAAAGGTCACGCTGACTGGCTCATGAATTAAATGAGCTTTACCTGTTATGCAGTCAGGGCTATTAAGCCTTATGCATCACAGGAAACAATGAGAATGATTTATTTCTCATACTTTCATTCTGTAATGACTTATGGTTTGATCTTCTGGGGCAAGTCTCCCCAAAGTATTCTTCTTTTTTAGCTCCAGAAAAGGGCAATTAGAATCATCACTAATTCTAGGAAAAGCGACTCTTATAGGGAATTGTTTTAAAAACTGAAAATTTTGCCCCTCCAATCACAGTATATATTTTCTCTCTTGTTATTTATGGCCGGAAACAGAGAACAATTTAAAACTAACTCTCAGATTCACAGCATTAATACAAGACACAACAATAACCTTCACTATCCTACATGCAATTTGTCAGCATTCCAAAAAGGAACATATTATTTTGGTATCAAGGTTTTTAACAGCCTCCCGCCTGGCATAAAGAACACAGCTCATGATATTAAATAATATACATTTGCTTTAAAAAGATTGTTACTCCTAAATTCACTTTACTCACTGGTGGAACATTTTAACCACAATATTGATTAAACATCCTGGTTCATTACATGGATAATGAATGGCAGTATATTTCATACTTGATTGTTACAGTGGTATTTACTGATAGTTTGACGCATGCTTTAAGTCACACACATTGCATAGCGGTTGTCTTGACAATGTGTGTTTGAGTGTATCTGTCTAATTGTACCCAGGCAAGCCACATAATCTGTTTTGTTGTCAGTGCTTATTTTAGTTTACCAGCCAAGTAAGGCTCGATGAGGGTAAATGAAGGAATAAATAAATTATAGCCAATGAGATAAAATAACTGTATACTAGTAATTACATCATACTCATTGGAAGAATATTTTTATCTATGTTGTTGTTGTCCCGCTTGCCGTTTTTGACTGTATTTTACTGTATTCACAAGTCTCCCTTATGGGGACCTATGAATGTATGAATGGAGATTGCTTGCTTGCTTTTACTTACATATTTTATAACCTTTAATGAAGTACTCTTTGACAGTTCTTGACAAAAGGCTCAAATTCTGATGCACAAGTATAAATAACATATATCTATGTAATTTATAATCTTATTACTTATTAGCGATGTACACATTGACATTGTTCCTGTTAAGAGGCTCAAATTGTGATGCATAAGTATATTTAACTTACATTTATGTAATTTGTAATCTTATTAATTTTTAATTAGACTGTTATTGCACAGATGTGAATGTATTTATATTGTACTGGACTTGTTCCTTATCCTATGGTGTCTACCTGTAACGGGATTTATGGAACGTAAATAAATTGACCCAAAAAAACCCTACACTCCATTTTTCCCAAGCAGCATGATGTAATCTACCCTTGTATGCATACATACAAAAGGACAAAAAATACTCAATGTTCAATGAACCACTAACACTGAACCTACTCATTTACTACATGATGCACAACTCCAATTACATACAATACTTGAAGACAGGACTGAAATAGGTTGCCAAATACATTACTTAATAACCTGATATAATCTTTCTTGATCATGTATTACAGTTATACTAGACTGCTTCATCATACATTATAAATAAATCATCTCACAATCTTTAACTCTCAAACTCTCCAATTACTGTTAATACAAACATGCACTGAAGTACAAAGAGACAAAGAATCTGTAAATCACAAACCAAATTAAAGATCACTGTCTTCTGGAATGTTATGTCATATAGCCCTGAAGAAAGGTTTCTGAGGAACCTGCTATCTCTATGTTAACGGAACAAGATAGACCATGCACAAAAATGAAGGTGCAAATATGGGAATGGGACTATGGCCAGAGCTATGAGAGACCTGCCCTTAAAAAGGGCAAGGCAAACCAGTGAGTGCAAAGACTGAGATATGAAATGTTATGAGAAAACTGACTCCCATTTTAAGGCTCACCACCTCCTACTGCATATGATTGCAGCAATTTCCTTTCCTCATATCCATACTCATATTTTTCCATGCAACATATGCTTCTACCTTGAAGATGGAGGATGCAGGTTCCTCCCAAATGCTACTAACTTTCTGCTACCAGACTACACACAATCACATTTCTAAAGAGAATCTTCATATTCAAATGAAACACACTACATTACATCTATATTTCTGTACTAACTTATTCCTGGCGGACTGCCAAGGTTCATCTGTTTATCAACTTCAGATTGTAACTGCTTTAATTTCTCAGCCTCTTCTTCCATTTCCCGAACTCTTGCCTTTATTGCCTCCAACTCCTGTAATCAAGAAGCTAAACTGATAAAGATCACTCTGAACGTTCTTGTGCAGCTATCTCACTATGTAACTGAAGTAAAATTTATTTAGGAAAACGACCGTATAATTGATGTACTTACAGGGTCATCCACTGCATTTGGCCCTACAGACAAGTCTCCTCCGCCTCCCCCTCCTGCTCCTCCTCCGCCCTCAGCAACCTCAACTTCTTGGCCATTTTCTAGCGAATCTAAGGCTTCTAGCTGATCTTCTGTACTAAGCCCCAACTCTTCTGTTTCGGCCATTTCCTTTTCTGCAATTGCGAAGTATTTGATGTATACTGTCATATAACCTCAAATATATATTTTCAAATACTTTGCCTCTGATACGGCTCAACGTCTCACAACCCTATGGGCCTTCACGGCCTGCTACAGGGATAGCTTTACTTTTTTTTTTACGGCAAACTCAACTTTAATATCAAAATCTGGCAGCCTCATTCACCTGAACTTCACACAATACTAATATACACAGAAAACTCAAAACTACGCTATCACTGCCTTACTCTTGTAGAAGACCACCAATCTATAGGCAAACCTTGAGTGATGTCATTAACAGCGTATCTGAAAGTGGAAAAAACAAAATTACATATACAATAGGAATAATTTTAAACTTCTTCACCTAAACGTTGATGACGAACGATTAATGAAACACCAATTATTCAGAACTCAATAATGCCGGTAATATTCGTTTCTCAACTCAATGCCAGCAATGTATAGAAACGAGATTTCTCTCGTGCAATTAATAAATATCCCGAAATAATTCACGGAAGGAAAATCGTATTTCTGCGAAGTGTACTCGTCAGTAAATGCAATAAATTATACAATGAAAGATTTCATATCCTAAAAAGATTCCAAATGCTGTATACAGCAGAGCTGTTGTGGAAAAATCGATTCGCTGTCAGGAACGTCAGGAATTGTAAAAGCCCGACCTTTTCTGAGGGCCGAAAGTTGAATCCCAAACCCGTTAATGTCCGTTAATGTGAGGTAAAGTTTGCTGCGTTACAAAAATTGTGTCCACGAAACGTCCATAAAAGCGTCGCTGCCTCAATACTCAGATGAGACCAGTCAAGATATATGAAGCAGTGAACAAAGATTTCTTCACTATTAAAAGACTCTTTAAATCCAGTTGATCCTTCTTCATCAACTTCTGTTCACATACCCGACTGGTACCAACATTTGAAGTTATATTTTCTACCATACCGACATCGTTCCCAAAATTACAGACAAGTATGTGTAATTCTGCATTTACTTCATCATATTTTCGTGTTTAGGCTTATTGCTGAAGTATAATTAGAATGATCAAGTCAAGGAGGATGAGGTGGCCAGGGCATGTAGCACGAATGGGTTATATGAGGAATGCATATGGGATATTGGTGGGAAAGCCAGAAGGAACGAACCCACTGGGCAGACCAAGGCGTAGGTGGGTGGACAATATTAAAATGAATCTTAGATACGATGGGATGATATAGATTGGATTGATCTGGCTCAGGATAGGGACCAGTGGAGAGCTCTTGTGAACACGGTACTGAACCTTCAGGTTCCACAAAATGCTGGGAAATTATTGAGTAGCTGAAGATTTGGCTTATATTTATTTATTTATTTACATTTATACATTCCGTTGATCCTTATGGTACAGCTGACCAGTGGATATGGATTTTGTCCCAAGCTAATAGATTAAAATACGCAAAATACAAACACTACATACATACTTTTGTCATTAAGACAGTTAAAAGATTTATATTAAAGTACAATGCATAAAATGATCAAAATTATAAAACAATAATTGATACAAAATACTTACGTAATGATATAAAATTATAACATATCAGGGGTACAATTACCAATTTTAATTACATACATGGTTAAAATATTCCTCTAAAGAATAAAAAGAATTTGAAAGAAAAAATCTTTTTAGCCTCAATTTAAATAGTTTCACATCATTACTCATACTCTTGATTCTGGATGGCAGGTGGTTATAAGCCTTGATACCAAAATAATATGGTCCTTTCTGAAAGATTGTTAGGCGTGATGTGGGAAGATGCAAATTTGTGGTATGTCTAGTATTGAGATTGTGGGTCTCATAGTTTGAACTGTATAGGTCTCTATTATTTACAACAAACAGAATTATAGAGTATATATACTGTGAGTACATTGGTAATATTTTTAGGTTTTTGAATAGTTCCCTACATGAGTCTCTAGTTCTTACATTCATAATAGTTCTAATGATCCGCTTTTGCATTCTGAAAACATTTATACTAGTTGCTGAGCTACCCCAGAAAATTATCCCATATTCCATGATAGTATGCACATAGGCAAAGTAGATCATCCTTAGGGTTTCCTGTGACATGAGACCTCTTACAGTTCTAATTGCATAGCAAGCTGCACTCATTTTAATTACTAATTTATCAATATGAGACTTCCATGATAATGTTTCATCAATATAAATACCTAGAAACTTAATATTTGGCACATTAGTGATATTCTTATTTTGATGATATATGCTTATGTCTGTTACCAAACTATTTTTAGTCCTGAACAGGAGATGGTGGGTTTTATTAAAATTTAAGGATAGCAGGTTAGCTTCAAACCATTTGTTTATGGCTAAGAATTGTTTATTCATATTAATTTCCAAATTATGAGGGCTCGAATCGGATATTATGATACTAGTATCGTCAGCGAATAAAATAATCTTCGCATTATTTGTTATTACTTTGGGTAAGTCATTAATATACAATAAGAAAAATAAAGGACCTAATATAGAGCCTTGTGGGACACCATATTTGATGATCTCCCAATCAGAAAAGGTGGTATTATAGGTTGTCCTATTATTTAATACTACCTTTTGGTATCTATTGTTCAAATAAGACTTGATTAATTTTTTAAATACTCCATTTATCCCATAGTATCCCAGTTTATTTAAAAATATTTCGTGGTTAACACAGTCAAATGCTTTCTTCAGGTCACAGAAAATGCCCCCAATAGTTAATTTATTGTTCATGGCTACTAAAATTTCATTTAATAATTTAAAAGAGGCCCTATTTGTTGTAGAGTTTTTTCTAAATCCATATTGATCACTAGCAAGTATCTTATTTTGTATTAGATGCTGGTTAAGCCTTGAATATATTACCTTTTCAAATACCTTAGAGAAAGCCGGTAACAAAGATATTGGTCTATAGTTAGAGATGTTAAGTTTATCCCCACTTTTAAATACTGGTTTTACTATTGAAAATTTCAGTCTAGTTGGGTAAATTCCTGAAGAAAGAGATTTATTTACAATATATGTTAGCGGAGAACTAATAAATAGGGCACTAGCTTTCAATATTGCGACAGGTATCTCATCATAACCATGGGAGTATTTGGCTTTTAAGGATTTGATGATTCCTTCTATCTCATGGGTAGAGGCATGCTTAGGTCGAATATTTGACAGCGGACTCGTGAACATTGAGGACATATAATTTAAATAGTTATCATGCATAGGCTGTCCAGTTTTACTAATACTTGTATTATCAATAATATCCTCAGCAACTGTTACAAAATAATCATTAAGATTTTTTGCCATGATTTGTTGGTCGGAAGTTATAATACCCTTAATATCAAGGGATTGAATGTCTACTTTATCTTCTTTTTTCCCAGTTTCAGTTTTGATTATGTTCCAAATAGTTTTTGATTTATTTTTAGAGTCTATAATCCTTCTCCTCATGAAGGGATCAGCTCCATAAGTAAGTCTTATTGCTGATATACAACATATTACACGAATACAATCCTGTAACCACTGCAATTTGGCTTGCTTTATTCCGTCTAATAATTTTGAGAATTCTTCAACAAAACATGGCTTATGCTTCTTCAGTTATAATAACCCAGACTCTCTTTGGCAGAAATGTTTATACCCTCTCTAATAGTTTCCCAAGCTTTATTAACATCTTCCTCAGTATCTAAGTTTTCCAAAGTTGTGAATCTATTTGAGATTTCAACACAATATTGCTCCTTACCATCTACTGATGCTGATCATTCTGAGCCCTTATTTATTTGGATGATTATAGATGACCATGAAATTTATTTCTAATTAATTCTCGGTAATTTAAATTTCAAAAGTCTTATGTTTCGGTATTACTGGAAATGTATCGTGATCTATAATATCGTATTTCATCGTCTGGGACGTGCAATACGGTGTTTATGTTGAAAATTTCTAGATTCTGGCAGAAACAAGAAGTCCGGAGTTATGACATTTACGATCAGTCATAAATTTAGCTCGGGTACAGGGAACCGGACGCGCCTAAAAGGACAGGTCAGAGCTTGTTACAATTGCCTGTGAATGAGGGCCAGTATGATTGAGTTGCCTCGTTCAAGCTTCCCACAGAAGATGGGATGAAATGTTATATGTCAACACCATCTTTCGAATTCTCGGCGTGGGGGTGCAAGCCATTCCACAAAAGGAGACCTTCACAATATTCCGATCTGAACGGACGTGACCCTTGCACGCTCCGGGACATAGCTAGCCGATAGTGTAACGCTGTAACTTAAAGCTAAGAATACATTATTTTAACAGTGTGGTGAATCAGCAGGTGAATAAACGTCAATTTGGCTCAACTCTCAGAAAAACGCTTTCTGCGGCATTGCTACCCTGAGACTCATGCGAACCGACCCAGCTAGTTTCCCGTACCTATACCGATCTTCCTTAGTTTGATCTGTGAGAACAACTTGCAGTAGCCATCATACACTGTCCTAAGGTAGAAACAGGTGTAGCAGGGATAGCACCATTCCTACTGCGCCGAAACAAGCAAAGGCGGGTTGGAAAAGAGCGGTGTTACTACCTTGTTTAATTTCTTGAGATTGAACCACTCCATATGAACTGTGTGTTGTTCTTTTACTCACTGCTAGTTTTTCCTAACCATTGCCACCACCAGGTAGTGGTCAGTATCACAATCTGCTACCCTGAATTATCGGGCATCAAGTATACTTAAATGCCATTTCCTATCTATCAAAATATGGTCGATTTGATTGTGTATCTTCCCAACAGGAGATGTCCAAGTAAATTTATGGACGTTACGATGTGGGAACATTGTACTTTTGACAGTAAGATTTTTTGATGTGGCAAAGTTTACTACTCTAACTCCATTATCATTACTAATTTCATGCAAACTCTCATTCCCAATCGTTGGTTTGAAAATGTCTTCCTTCCCTACTTTGGCATTGATATCTCCTAGCAAAATTTTCATAGGGTACTTCAAAAATTTATCAAAGACATGTTCTGGTTCTTCACAGAACCAGTGACCTTTTAGTATTATATATGATATCCTATCGCTAACGAACTCTAGCCCCTTAACTGCTGATACAATCCTCTTATGTATGAAAAAACCTGTACCTAATTCATGATTTTCATTCCCCTTTCCATAGAAAAATGTATATACGCCTGCTGATGTGATCCCCCCCCCTCATCTGACCTCCTGCACTCCTGCTAAATCTAACTTATATTTTAAGATTTCTTCTGCCACTGCCATGAGCGTACCTGCCGTGTACATGCTTCTAACATTCCATGTGCCAAGGTAAAGTATGGTGGAGCTATAACACAGGACCCCAGTATGTCATCATAAATTAAGCAAAATGTCTGTGTCTTCTTTAAATTACTTCCCCAATTTTTGATAAATAGAAGCAGACCTATAATATCACCTTGATGTGTATCCCCCCTTATCCAGCATCTACATCATGGCACCTGAGACCGCCTTAAT